ACTGCCTTTCCATGTGAAAATAATGAGGTCATACTCATGTCACAATACTTTGAAGCTGATGCCATGTTGATGCCATGAGACTGCGAAGCTGAGGCCACGATGATGCCACAAAATAAGAGAGGCGAACACAGCTTCAATTTTCAATGACGCGAAGCTGATGCCACAATGATGCGATGCTGAGGCGACAATGAAGCCATGCGTAAGCGACAATGATGCCACAAAAGCCAAAGCTTCCGCGAGACCTGTACTGTACTTGAACTGTTTCTTGTATAATACACGTCCCTTGTGACATGTATATTGTTTGTTTACGTGAAATTTCAATACACATTATATTATGACTGTAGTGTTTTAATTTGTAGTTTTTTTTGGTTGTTTTAATAAACTTTTTCATCTCAGAATTTAGTATGCCTCGATAGCTTGTGTAAGTTGTGGGCTAAAAATGTCACTTCAAAACGACATAAAAATTAACAAAATCAGAAAATAAGTTTTCTGTATGTTAGCACATAGGAGCCCAAATTTTATTCCATACAACTGAACAGCATATATGTATAGCTATGGTTGTTAATATGTTAAGAGTATCTCTGAAAATCTCATTTGCGGTAAAATTTTTATTCTAGAAACACAACCTTGTGCACTGAGCATTGCTTTGAGTCTTGGGCAGTCTGGTGGAAGTGAAATATTTGGAGGTCATGGAAGCGATAATAGTTCTGCTGATGGTATGCTTGATATACTGAGCGTGTCTGATGTGACACACATTGTACATAAAGGTAAGTGTAATTATCACTGATAGACTGACATCAAGTATCGGAGCTCATAACAATATGTTTGGCAGTTATTTTAGCATCGAAATGCTTCCATGGCTTGGGGTTAAACAAAAGAGTTAACCGATCACTGATAACATCGTATCTGCACCCGACTCATGATTGGTGGACCAAGTTCACATCCTACCTGGGTTTGAACATTAAAATGGGTTGACACTATCTTGAGTGAGTGTACCACAAACTCAATGGAGAGGCCAAAACACTGGGTGAGATTCAGCTAATATTATGAATCTATTCAATATGGCTGACTTGAATGTTCAATCCTCAGACGTGACTGTGTTTATATCATTCAAACGGCCGTACATTGATTGCAGTTGCATGTTTGTTTCAATTATATACATGTAATGTGATGAAATATTTACAAAGACGTTTGAATAGAAAAAAACTAGAATAGACGAATTGTTGTGGAAATACAATATCATTAGATATAGATCACACTCATTACGCCTTAACTGGATTTAGATTTTATTCGGGTGACGTTTTGGTGTAGATGCTGTGAACACTTTTATCAAACCTATATAATGTGTGAGTGGCAGAGTTTGTACATAAAAAAAAAAAATTATAATTCAATTGAGGTTGTCTTATTATCATCTGCTCATGTTGTCCACATTCAATCTGTTTTAATGCATCTCCATGTATGTTCTATGATTACATCATTTTTATTTTTAGTAAGATCTGGTAATTTTTTTATATTTATATTTATATTTTTATTTTATTTTATTTTTTATTTTGATGTTTTTGCATTTAATACTGTATTTTCCTCAACAAAATCGAAACAAATTCTATCATAGTTTTGAAATAAATGCATATGATTTGATCAAACCCTTAAACATTATAATGTACGAGGATGTATATTGCCTTTATCTGTCGTTCTAATTGGTTGAGAGCGTGTTTAATTATGCAAGCAGTGATTAAATATACCATTTAATACAGGTTTTCATGTTGTTTTTTTTTGTTTGTTTTTTATTTTTTATTGATATGCTTAAGGTAGAGATGCAGTTTACGTGACAGGTATTTTAATTAGTTAATCAGGAAATCAAGATGACCTCCCTTGTCCACAAAACTATATATTTTCGGAAATTTTCTTAGTATTTTTTTTTTATGGATGCTGTACATGTAGTTTGAAATATCGACAAAAATGTGCTTTTTTGGTCAAAAGTGATTTAAAAAAAATTAGCTTCTAAACCAGGCTTCTGTTTCCTGTCAAAATTGGTTTATGGGTACATCTGTTTACTATGAAGAAAGTGCCGTCTTGAAAACTATCTACCAGTTGTCAATTTTGCAGGGCAGCTGCTCAAATTTCACTACTTCAAGTTTATGCATAAATTAACACCCAGGCTAGTTGGATGTACGATTATTGTAACACTGTTCAACCAAAAATAATGCCCTGACGGCGTTTTGAAGATAAACACATTGTCAATCATTTGTGAAAATTTCAAAACAAAAGGTCAAAGCGTCTAGGAGCTATTTAAAATCGTTTTTTGAGTATGTTCCACTATTCACAATTCTACAAAATTTCAACAGTCTATAGCCAAGACTGTTTGGATAATAAAAAGCAAAGTGCCCACGAACCTGCATCTCTACCTTAACAAAACAAAGATACAATACACAAATACAATACAGGTTACTACACAAATACAAACCCTATGCTTCAAAATAATCAATGAATTCTCCCCAAAATGGAGAGATCTGCAAATTGTAATGTACATTTATTATTCTCATTTTTCCTTCTTTTAGACAAGCAGCAGCCCAGACGACAAGCCTCCACCACTGAATATTTAGCTGGTATGTTGCATTCATTGAGCCCGCCAGGATTGTTGCCAC